AAGAGATCTGTGACGTAGGGGAAGAAACGTGATCGCGAGACCAGGGCGCACCGTATAAAAGAGGAAGCGGCTGACTACTCGGGGCTTCTTCTGTCGAGACGTAGTTTGAGAAAGGTGTAAGTTGCGTGATACGGTTACTATGCACTGTAATGCTTTGCTATTCGTTAGCGCACTGAGACTCTATGTATTGTATTAGAGATATAGATATAAAGCACTAGTGAACGTTACTTCTTGTCTTCTCTTATCTCTCTCTGTAGTCTATTACAGAATTCCACATCGTAGCGCAAACACGCGTCTACAATATAACATTCACGGATCGAATGCTTCGATTCACGGATCGAATGCTTCGATTCACGGATCGAATGCTTCGATTCACGGATCGAATGCTTCTATTCACGGATCGAATGCTTCGATTCACGGATCGAATGCTTCGATTCACAGATCGAATGCTTTGATTCACGGATCGAATAATGCAATTCACGGATTGAATGCTTCGATTCACGGATCGAATAATGCGATTCACGGATCGAATGCTTCGATTCACGAATCGAATAATGCGATTCAGAGTCTTTTTCTGGTTCTGGTTCTTTTACGTCCCCATTGGCTTTAATATTACTGGAGACGGGACCGCCATTTTACGTGGTCATCCGAGCCACGGGAGATTATGGTACGTATTTTGTTTCATAATTCGATTTTTTGTTTTATGGTTGATTTTATCTCATATAACATTCACGGATCGAATGCTTCGATTCACGGATCGAATGCTTCGTTTCACGGATCGAATGCTTCGATTCACGGATCGAATGCTTCTATTCACGGATCAAATGCTTCGATTCACGGATCGAATGCTTCGATTCACAGATCGAATGCTTTGATTCACGGATCGAATAATGCAATTCACGGATCGAATGCTTCGATTCACGGATCGAATAATGCGATTCACGGATCGAATGCTTCGATTCACGAATCGAATAATGCGATTCAGAGTCACGAGAGTTTCACAGTTTCAGAGGGACGAGGTATATGAGGAGGGGAGAAGGTGGTACAGGAGGAAGGAGAGAAGGTAGAGGACGAGGGAGAAGGTAGTGGGAGAGGAAGAGGGGAGAAGGGGTGGAGGTAGAAGAGGTAGAGGACGAGGGAAAAGGTAGTGGAAGAGAAGGAGAGAAAGAAGGGGAGGATGTAGAAAAGGGGGACAGGAAGGAGGTAGAAATGGGGTACAGGAAGAAGGTCGAGGAGGAGGGTAGAAGGTGGTCGAGGAGGAGGGTAGAAGGTGGTGGGGGAGGAGGGGAGGAGGTAGAGGAGGGAGGAGGTAGAGGGGGAGAATGTGGTGGAGGGGAGGGGGAGTTGGGAGATAGGGGAGAGAGAAGGTAGTGGAGGGGGAGAAGATAGAAGAGGGATGAGGTCGAGGATGGTGGGAGAACGTGGATGAGGTAGAGGAGAGGAAGAAGGTAGAAGAGGGAGTAGGTAGTGGATGGTGGGAGAAGACGGAGGAGGTAGAGGAGGGGGAGAAAGTGGTGGAGAAGGAGGGGGAGGAGAAGGGTAGAAGGTGGTGGGGGAGGAGGGGGAGGAGGTAAAAGATGGAGGAGGTAGAGGGGGAGAATGTGGTGGAGGGGAGGGGGAGTTGGGAGATAGGGAAGAGAGGAGGTAGTGGAGGGAGAGAAGTTAGAAGAGGGAGGAGGTCGAGGATGGTGGGAGAAGATGGAGGAGGTAGAGGAGAGGGAGAAGGTAGAAGAGGGAGTAGGTAGAGGATGGTGGGAAAAGACGGAGGAGGTAGAGGAGGGGGAGGAGGTGGTCGGGAATGAGAAGGGGGAGGAGGGGGAGGAGGGGGAGAAGGTGGTGGAAGAGGAGGGAGGAGGTAGAAGGGGAGAATGTGGTAGAGGGGAGGGGGAGTTGGGAGATAGGGGAGAGAGGAGGTAGTGGAGGGGAAAAGGGAGAAGAGGGAGGAGGTCGAGGATGGTGGGAGAAGGTGGAGGAGGTAGAGGAGAGGGAGAAGTAGAATAAGGAGTAGGTAGAGAATGGTGGAAGAAGGTGGAGGAGGTAGAGGAGAGTGGGAGAATGTGGAGGAAGTAGAGGAGGAGGAGAAGCTGGTGGAGAAGAAGGGGGAGGAGGGCTCCTCCCTCACTCACTCACAAACCTTCGATCCCACCCTCCCTCCTCCCTCCTTCCCTCGCCTCCCTCCCTCCCTCCTCCTCCGCCCTCCCCCCCCTTCCCTCCCTCCCTCCCTCCCTCCCTCCCTCCCGTCCCTCCCTCCCTCCCTCCCTCCCTCCCCCCTCCCTCCTCCCTCCTCCCTCCCCCCTCCCGCCCTCCCTCCCTCCCTCCCTCTATCACTCACTTAACCACCTGTCGACTCCTCCCGTCCTTCCTTCATCACTATACCACGACCCCCTCCATCCTCTCACTCACTCGCACTCTCGACCCCCCTCCCTCCCTCCCTCCCCCCTCCCTCCCGCCCTCCCTCCCTCCCTCCCTCCTCCCCTCCCTCCCTCCTCCTCCTCTTGGGCTCCCTCATCACTCATTTACGCACCTGACCCCCTCCTCCTCTCCTCGTCGCCTCCAACCACTCACCCACTCTGATCCCTCCCTATCCCTCCCTTCCCGCCCTCGCCTCCCTCCCTCCCTCCTCCGCTCCGCTCCCTCCCCCCCGTCTCTCACTCACCAGTCACTTTGTACCACCCTCGACCCCCTCCTCCTCCGCCACCTCCTTCTCCTCTCTCCTTCCACCATCCTTCTCCCCCTCCTCCCCTCTCCTCCCCCTTCCTCCCCACCACCTCCTCTCCCCCTTCTCTCCACCAGCTCTCCCTCCTCTACTCCTCCACAGTTCTCCCACTTCTCCCTACCCCTCACCTTTCTCGCAACCATTCTCTACCTACTCTCTCTATCTAGCTTCTCCCCTCTCCTCCTA